TCTCTTGAAGAGCTCTCAAAGGGAAATTCTGGGAGTTTTCTAGTTGCAGCAAATGGGGAATATTTCAGTTCTTGAATGGTGATGGACATAGTGGAAGAGACACACATAATTATTATTTCATTTCACATAGAAAACCCTCTTTTTAACAAGTCCCAGCTTCACCAAACCTCTCTGCCATCTCCTTAAATGAGAAAGAACAAGTGGAGCTCCTCTCACCAGGAAGATCCTAAATCAAGACCCTCCAGTCTTGAACCTGCTTGTGCAGCAGCTCTGGAGCATTCAGGAGGAATTTGATGGGCAGGGACCCAAGGAATTGCTTTCTCCTGGATGTTACATTCCCAAATTCTACAGCAGTGCCTGGACAAGGCTGTGGCCCACAGGAACCTCAGGAGGTTCCAGCAGTGCTGGAGCTGCCCCTGGGTCAGGAGGACTCCCAGGACCAATCCAGGCTGGGATGAGCAGCTGGAGCAGCCCTGAGAGGGAGCTGGGGGTGCTGGGGCTGAGAGCTGGAGCTGCCCCAGCCCTGAGCCCCTGCCCTGGGCTGAGCCCAGCGTGGGCAGCAGGGCAGGGGGGATTGTGCCCTGTGCCCTGTGCTCAGGTGAGACCCCACCTGCAGAGCTGCCCCAGCCCTGGCCCAGCACAGGCAGGAGCTGGAGCTGCTGCAGAGACCCAGAGGAGGCACCAGGGGGATCAGGGGATGGAGCAGCTCTGCTGGGAGGAGAGGCTGGCACAGCTGGGATTGTTCACCTGCACAGGAGAAGCTTTGGGGGCACCTCAGTGTGGCCTGAAAGGCCTGACAGGAAAGATGGAGAGAGACTGTCCAAGGGCCTGGAGTGCCAGGACAATAAGGAATAGCTTCCCACTGTCGGATTGCAGGGATGGATGGGATGTTGGGAATTAGGAATTGTTCCCTGTGAGGATGGGCAGGCCCTGGCACAGGTGCCCAGAGCAGCTGGGGCTGCCCCTGGATCCCTGGCAGTGCCCAAGGCCAGGCTGGACAGGGCTGGGAGCACCTGGGACAGTGGGAGGTGTCCCTGCCATGGCAGGGCTGGCACTGGATGGGCTTTGAGGTCCCTTCCAACCCAAACAATTCTGGGATTCTGTGGTGGCCAAAGCTGCCAGTTCCAGGGAGCAGGAGGGCACAGGTGGCTTTAACCTCACAATGTCCCTCACTGGTACCTTGGGAGATCTGTGTTTGCCTGTACAGAAAATGCTGAAGGTTTGCAACTTCCAGCAGTTTCTCCCTCATTTTCTTCCACTTTTAAAGTACCGACTTTCCACTTGAGATTCTGGACTCTGATCCTTGTGGGTCTTTTCTGTTTTGTGACTCTGCAATAGAAAGCTGTGATAAAAGGGACAAGTCCTGGGTAACTTTTACTGTCCTCAGGCCAGACAGGACCTGGCAGAAGATGAAAAGCTCTGCAAGGAGAGCTCTCCCTTTGCTGCTCCTGAGGGGTGAGGGAGCAGTGCCATGGCTCATCTGCTGTCCTTCCTGCCCACGGGGGTCCTCCAGGAAACTTCCCACTGCTGCTGTCTCCTCCTTTGGGAAGCTGTGCTGACGCCAGCCCCCAACGCCCCGCCTGGAAAATGAAATGCTCATTGTCACCTCATGCTGATCTCATTCCTCTGGCTCCAGTGTCTTGGTTTGGAAAGACAGGAGTCTGCTAAGGAAGGCAGGAGCCTCCCCTGAAATGGAGAATGTAAACCCTCCCCACCCCTCCCAATTGCTATAAATTTTAAATTAAGGGGGCTCTCAGGCAAAAATATGGGAGAAGGAAATAACAGTTCTTTAATAGGGAAGAAAAAATAAAAGGATAAAATGAACAATGCAGGGCACTAGAACAACACTGCCAGAGTCAGAACCCAACCTGACACCCTGTGGGTCAGGGTGCTGGCACAGTCCCATTGGAAATGTGGCTCAGCCCTCCTGCAGTGTCAGGGGTGGCTCTGCTGGAGCAGGGATCCTGTAGAGAAGGATGGATTCTGCCTCTGAAGATCCAGGGGAAGGAGAGGCACCTGCTGTTCCTCTGGGCAATCCCGTGCAGAAGCCGTGCTGGTGTCTCCAAACCTCTGGATTATATCTGGGTAGCAATGCTTGGCTCCTCCCTCTGGGCTCACATCTCCCAATGGGATGTTACAGTTCTTATCAGCCATGCAGGGACATTCAATGGCTGTTATCAGCAGATGTCCCCTCCCAGGGAGGTGTGAATGTGGTCACTCAAAGAGAGAGATAAGGCAAACTGCCCACTTGACAAAGATGGTAATAGAAAACATCTTGCATTGCAATTTTTCAACATCCAGACACAAATCCAGACTGAGGGAAGCTCCATGGCCCCAGGCAGCAGGGCAAGGAGCAGGAATGAGAGCATGAAAAGGGAGGAGGGGTGACACAGCTGACACTGCAGGATGTGGGATCACCCCGGGGATGTGCTGAGTGCCAGGGAGGAGCTGCTTGGTCATATTGGAATAATTACCAATACAGCAGGATGGGATGTGCCTGAGCTTGTCTGGGCCTTGGTGCTGAACCAAACAGCAGCACTGTGGTGTTTCACCCCACAGACACTTTTGGCTGCCTGGGTGTGTGGTGTTTCACCCCACAGACACTTTTGGCTGCTGGGTGTGTGGTGTTTCACCCCACAGACACTTTTGCCTGGCTGGGTGTGTGGTGTTTCACCCCACAGACACTTTGGGCTGGCTGGGTGTGTGGTGTTTCACCCCACAGACACCTTTGCCTGGCTGGGTGCTGCAGCTGAGCACTGCAGACAAGTCCAGGCCTGCAGGAGCTCTGGTGCTGCTGGGATGGAGCTTCCCCCCATAACAGGGGCTGCTCCTCAGGTTTCCCTCTGTGGAAAAGCTTTAAGGTGATGGTGAAGGAAAGGAGTCGGTTCTGATGGAGGGTTTGGATCCAGAGCTTTATTCTGGCCCTCAGGCCTCTGAATGCAGCACCAGCTCCCACAGAACTCCCTGAGCCCGTGGCTGCTGCTCCTTTGAACCCCGGGGAGAGGGGCAGGGAAGGGGCAGGGAGGCACCAAGCAGGGACAGGAGGGGAGGGACAAAGGGACAAAGGACACCTGGGTGGCCCAATGCCCCCCAGGGGTAGAGGGCATCCTTTGGATCTGCCAATCACTCAGTGCCCTTCTGGAATGCCAGGAGTGACAGACAGTGCTGGGAGGGGAAAGGAGAGGTGACTGACACACCTGGGAGGGAATTATCCTGAGGGACCCGAGGTTCTGGGGTAAACCCTGAAATCACAACACAACAGGCTCAGAGCTGTGTTTGGACTCCAAGAATGGGGCCAGGGGCTGTCCTGGCAGGTGGGGACAGGAGAGGGGAGTCAGGAGCCTGGGATGTGCTCAAAATGAAGATTCCAGCTCAGCTCTCCCATCAGTGCTGAATCCCCCCTCAGTCCTTTCTGCGTGGGTCACATCCCTGCCAAACAAAGCACAAGTGGCACCTTTGAAGGAGCAGCTGCAGATTGGGAATGCAAAGCTGCCCCTGGCAGTTGGAGATCCTTTTTCCAATTTTTCCCCCCATTCTTCCACCCTTCTCGCAGTTCCTGTTCCTTGTTGGCTTTTGATAAGCATGTATGGGTGGGATTTTAGTAAAAATCATTAGTTAGCTGATTAATTATTAGTAAACTGAGGGTATGAAGGACCAGAAGAGTTAAGATGTGCTGGGGGACTGAAGCCTCTTGATCCCACATTTAACCACACAAAGCTCTTGTGGGAGACACTCCAGTATGAGCTTAAATAGGGATTGCAGGGGCTGGTCAGAGCTCCATAAATGGCAGCTGGACACCTTTATTTGTCCAGAAAATCAGAACATTCCAGAGGTGCCAGGAATTACCTTGAGGAAAGCCCCAGTGTGGGTTGTCAGGCTGGTGGCTGCATTTTTTTCTCACCTTCATTTCAAGCTAGACCAGCAGGATGTACCTGGACGTGATTTCTGTGATGGTTGGGTGACCTTTCCTTTCTGCCTGCCCTGTTCCAGTGATGACATCCAGACTCTTGCTTTCCATGGGATTTTAGCAAACAGCAGGATCATTTTTATCCTCAGCCCAGGACATCTGGGAGATTTCACCTCAACCCATCCCCACTGAGTTCTCATTTGACCTGTGCTTGTCACAATCACCAAAGCCTGGGAAAGCTTGAAGAAAGACTGACAGGGAAGAGCAGATCCCTTTAGAAAAGTTCTGATGTCTGTGACAATCTTGGCTTCTAGAGGAGATTGTGCTGTGGAGAGAGCTGGAGGATGGTTTTTAGCATTGAGGATGATAATTTGTGTTTCATGACTGGCTGTGGTGTGTGCACATGGAATTCTGCAGGTCTTTTTCAGGATGAGAGAGGCAGCTGAGGAATAATTTGTTGGACTGATGCCTCAGGTTTAGCTTTTCTATTTTTCACATTCTGTGCTGCTTTAGTGTGTGGGTCTGAGCTTCACATCAGGGCATGCTGAGCTCTGTGCACAGAGCAGGGACACAAAACAATTCCTGCTCCAGCTGGGCACCAAGGACAAATGAGCCAAATCTCAGCCCAAGAGCACAAACCCCGTGGGCTGGAGAGAGAAAAACAAGCAGGGTGGGACTGCAGGGGCTAAAGCTGGGATGGGACAATGAACTGCAAGATGCAAATGGAGCAGAACTGATCCAAGGGAGAGACCCCGTGCCCGGCCGTGCATTTTGGGGCCATTTTGGTTCATCTTGGGTGCAGCCCTGGCTGGGCTCTTGTGCTGCCCAAGGTGGATCCATGGAGGCTTTTAATACCCCAAAATCCCAAATTTAAACCCAAATCCCTGCTTTATTCTTTAGCTCTGTCCAGCCTCTGTTCTAGGTCAGCCTGCACAAGGCACCAGGACAACAATGAGTCCCTTGCTGTGCTTTCCACTCCCTCCTCCCATCCTGGACTCCACAGGCTCCCTGAGCTCCTCTGGAAGGCTGGGGGAGGGCTGTGTGCCTGCCCTGGCTGCCTGTGATGGGTTTTCCCTCTCTTGTGTGCCCGCAGTGAATTTGCCAAGGAGCGGGAGCGGGTGGAGAACCGCCGGGCGTTCCTGAAGCTCCGCAGGCAGCAGCAGATCGAGCGCGAGCTCAACGGCTACCTGGAGTGGATCTTCAAAGCAGGTAAGGCTGGCATCTCCCAGGCTGGCCTGGATGTGGCAAGGGGCAAGGGAGCTCTGGTGATGTGTGGGAATCCACAAAATCAGAGGGTTTTGGGAAAGCTGCAAAAGGCAGGCTCTAGAGGCAGCAGAACTGTGATTACAGCTAAGCAGTAGCCATGAGATTGGTCAGCAGAAAATATATGTAAAATGTAGAAAAGCAAAGACAAATAGAACAATGGTCTGTGTATTAATGCTTGTCTAGAATAACTCCCTAAACTACAGAAAAGTTTATCTAGCAAGATATTAGGAAGGTTGAAGCTTAATAATGGAGCTCTGTGCATTGTGTTTTAAGGCTCACAAGCAGGTATTGTATTTGAAATAAGCAAACATTGTTTAACCAAAGGTAGTGGTTGGATGGAACTACTGTCAATGTGCTTTTGCTTTGTGGTGAAAAAACTTTTAAAGTAAGTTGTAACATGAAGTTCTTAGTCTGCTGCCTGGGATGTGAGCTGGTGGCATCTTCCCATTGCCATCACCATGTAACGAGACTGATGCTGGAAAATAAACCAGCTCAAGGCACCTTCCACAGCAGTTCTGTCCTGATTGGGATTTGTACACAGACCCCAGCTGGCCACAGTGATGGGCTCCAGAATGAGTCCTTGGTGTGGCCAAGCCTGGGAGGGCCTGGCCAGCACTCATTGGTTTTGTTGGAATTATTTCTGAGTGTTCGCACCAAAGTTATTGCAAAAATATCTTGGTTTGGTTTAAGCAAAACTAAAGAGCTGAGCCAGCTTTATTGCTGAGATCAAAGCAATTGTCCTAATACAGGATAATATAAAAAGTGATCTGTGGATGCAACAGCTTGGTCAGAAAGAGAGAAAATGAGCTTTGCTTTCTCACTTTTTGATCAGGCTGTTGCACCCACAGTGATGGAGTGCCCAAAGCCTGCACAGGGAGGAACTGTTCCCTTCCATGAGTAATTTCTGTTTTATTTACTCCCTGCCCCAGCTGGTTTATCAGCCTTTCTTTCTGTGCTGATAAAACCCACCCAAGTGGCATTTTATGAGCTACAAAGATCACTTGTATGAAGCTCCCCCCAGCCCATATTAACATTGATTTATAACCACTGGAACTGAACATTGCTCTTTATTGCAAGGCGTGAGCAACTTTAACCAGGACCCAGACACATCAATTTAACAGAAAATAGCATTTTTATCAGACTGCAACGATTACCAATAACCTTCCTGCTTTATGGAGGAGCTGATATTTATATATTGACATAACCACAGTCAATTCTTTCATGCAGCACCAAGAAAATGGGGGTTAATTCCCTCCTTGCTTGCTTTTCAACATCTGAGCCAAGTGAAAAGGCCTTTTAAAACAATGATGGGGAGGAAAAGAAGTGCTGGTTTCTCAAATGGATTCCTGGGTGCCATTTTAGACAGATGAGTTTAATCTTTGCTCTTTACAACTGAAATGTAAAATAGAAATATCTGCAGTTTATGTGGTGCTTTAAACCCATTATTTCTTGTAGCACTGCACTGGGTGACAATCGAGGGCCACTTGTGTTGTCAGACTTTTATTCACTGTGACTGTTTGGCAGCAACTCGGGCAGCCACCCTTCATTCTGTGCTTCTGGAGAAATCAGAAAATGAAGAATTCCCTTTCTTTTCCATTGAGAATTTGTCTTCTCATTAGTTTACAGCTTCTGTGCAGCCTCTAACTCAGATTAATTCCTGCCTTGCCCAGTGGCTGGAGCAGGGTTCTCTGGGCTTCTCCCTTTCTCATTCTGTCTTGCTTTTAAGGCTCTTGGTGATTTTTGGTCTCTTAATCCTGATCTCCATCACAAAAACAGAGATGAGAATTCCCCTGCAGGGTTGAGGGTGGCTCTGTGTCACTCTGGGGCCTGCTCTGCCCATCACTAGCTGAACTTGTGAGAAACTTGGGATGGAGAAATTATAAAATGTACATTAAACCTCTGCTCCAGTTCCCATCCCTGTGGGAATTCCTGGCTCTTCCATTTCTATGTTGCCAGGGCTGAATAAATGCCACACCAATGTCAAGTGAAACTGCTGGAAAATGCACATTTTTCAGCCCAATAACACACAAGTCAGAAGGCTTTGTGGAACAGGGAAGTGCATGCAAAAGAGCTGAATCAGGGAATGTTAAAAATACTCTGGAAAGGCATTGTTGAGAATACAATAGGAATATAAAAGAGCCTCCTAGTACAGCTGAATAATAACAGTAATTAAAATCAGCTTAGCAGTGTTAATAAAATCTTAGAATGAAAATGCAGCGTGAAGGCAAAGCAGAGCAGAGAATCCAGGCTCCAGTAAACTGGGACTGTGCCGTCCACGGGGACTTCCCACATCTGGTTTGGGGATTTCAGCCCTGAAATGATCTGGAATTCCTTCTCCAGGACTGGAGGGGGGAGATCCAGCCAGGGAGGACAGACAGAAGGGAACAGAAATCTTGCAGCAGCCCCAGGCAAGAGCTGTGTGCACAAAGGGAAAGCAAAAGCTCCTGGGATTCTGCTCTAATGGAACTCTGGAGGATTTGGTCATTATTCCTGGGAATATTGAATTGTTTTCAAATCCTTCTGCCAGCCTTGACCTCACTGACTCTTGGAGCAGAGTGCCATGTGTTAAACCCAGTTTGATTTTAAAAACCAAACAACTCCACGGAGCTGTGTCCTGCCCTCACTTTCAATCCGTTGCCTTTCTGCAGCAAGAGGAAGAATCCAGGAGTTCTTTTAATTACTTTTCTTTCTCTAATCTCCCTCTACCTTGTTTCATCTTATTTTTTCCTGCTCCAGAGCACCCAGAACCAATCAGCCCAATCCCCTCTCTTCCCCTGGAAGCCTCATCAGGTTTCCAATATTTCTAATATCCTCCCTGAACATTTGGTTTGTTCGATTTTTTCCCCCTCGTTTATTTTTGATGCAAGGCAGGAAGAGTGGAAAGCTGTATTCCAGTGCTTCATAAAATGAGGTCTTAATCCTTAGATGGTTTTTACTCTGTAGTTTTTCACATATTCTGTGTAGTTGCTGGAGCTGGACAGGAGGTGCCCTTGTCCTTTGTAGTGCTCAGGTTTTTACCTCAAGTGTTGTTTTAGGACCAAGGGAAGTATGAGTGACTAAAATCACTCCTTTCCCTGTGCCCTACCACCCCTCAGTCAACAATCATTTTAATTTAACACTGTGGTTATTGCTCATGGACCACTGTGAAGTGACTTTAATGTTTCTCATTAATGTCACTAATTTGAATTATCACAGAATCCCAGACTGGTTTGGGGTGGAAGCCCTGTCCAGCCAAGCCCCATCCAGCCTGGCCTTGGGCACTGCCAGGGATGCAGGGGCAGCCCCAGCTGCTCTGGGCACCCTGTGCCAGGGCCTGCCCACCCTCACAGGGAAGGATTCCTTCCCAAAATTCCACCTAAACCTCCCCTCCTTCACTTTGGAGGCAGTTGTCCTTTCCAGAGGAATTAAAAAGTGCCAAGTGATGCAATCCATGCAAATGATTTTGCTCCTGCTGTTTTCTCCACTGAACTCCTCAGAACTGCAGGAACTCCAAGGCTGGAATTTTTGAAGAACAGGGAACTACAAGTTCTCCACATAGAGTAAAGAGTTTATAAGCCCACAAATATTCTTTTGAAGATGTTTCTCTTATCTTACAAGGACATGAATCATTTGGAAAACACTTTGCTCAGAGACTCTAAAATCTTCCTGTTCAGGGCTAATCAAGTTTCACATCTTTTGCATTTTAATTCTTTCCAAATCCACCTTTTTCACACCAAACTGGAGTGCTTCTGTTCTGGAGTGCCAGGCTTTGGGAATGGTTTCACCTCTCTCTGCCAGCCCTCTGTAATTTCAAGGCCATTCCTTGGCACAGCAGAGCTTTCTGAACTTCAGGTTTCAGCTTTCTTTAGAAGAACAGAGCCCTGAGCCCTGTTGGGAACAGACACCTCCAGCAATGAATCCTGTGTGTGTCACTGTCACGTTTTCTAGAAAAATCCCTTGCCCAGAATTTTCTTCTGGGAAGCTGAGAAGCCTCAGTGAAAAAGGAAAACAATATTATCTCATTTGCTTCTCCTGTGTTTGGCTGCTTTGGAATGTGGTTGGAGATTGTTTATCCAACATGTGAATTGTTTTAACTTAATGACCAATCACAGTCAGGCTGTGTCAGGACTCTGGAAGGAGTCAGGAGTTTTTCATTAGTATCTTGTTAAGCCTTCTGTCTATATCCTTTCTCTATTCTTTAGTATAGTTTAGTATAGCATTCTTTCATATAATATAGTAACATAAAATTATAAATTAGCCTTCTAAGAACATGGAGTTGGGTTCATCCTTCCTCCCCACGACAGGGGACCCCAAAAATACCACACATGTGAGATGCCAAGACAGGGTAATTCCCACAAAGACAAAGCAGAACTCCTTGGGAGAGCATGGCAGCCACTTCTGAGGGCTGCATTTTATCAACTGTTTCTATTTACCCAGCCAGAAATTAAACTAATTTAGTGTTTGTTATTTCCAGTCATCTGCTGCTCCTTTGAGCCCCCAGTGTCCTCTTTCCTCACACCAAAGAGGAGGAGAAGGGGCACCACTTTCTCAGCTGCTTTGCCTTTATTTCCAACCCAGCACTTAATGACCAAAATTTCCTCTTGCTGCTGAGACACCCCTGCCTCTGACATCCTGGCAAAGCCCCTGAGCTTTTGGAGGCTCAGAATTGCTGATCTGGTCCCATCTCTCTGCTGAACATTGCTCCTCATGCAGAAGCACCATTTTTGGGAGGTTTTCAGGTGCCCAGTGATCTCCTTCCAGGCTCTGTTAGGGATGACTAAAGGCAGAGCAGCTCCTGAGCCTCTGTTCAGGATGCTGGCTGGTGAAAACCCCTCCTGGCAGTGCTCAGTGACCTGCTGAGCTCTGTTTTTAGCCTTAAAAACCTCCTGGGGTAGCTGTGGTCCTTTGGATTCCCAGAGGACACGAGGCAGACAGGAATAATGATCAAGGGAGAGAACCTGGGAACGCTGCAGGAGGAGAGTGAGGCTTGAGGGGATTTCAGAGGTGAAAAAAGGTTGGGTTATTTTAAAGGAACAGCAAAACTGAGCCCAGCTGTGTTTATGGGTGGAGGTTTGTTTGAGCACCAATTCAGGATGCTGAATTTGGGGCAAAGGTTTGCAGAATTGTCTTGTAAGAGTAATTTGTAGGTGGAAATCACCTACAAATATAGCACAGCTATAGCACAGCTTTTGGGAAGGATCTTCCACCCCTTCCTCGTGTTTCAGGGCAGTCAGACTGGGAATTGCCATTTCAGTCCTCCCATATTTTTATCCCCAAACATCAGTACAGCTTTCCCTAGGGGGGGGACTTCAGAAGAACCTTTTGGTCTGAGGTGCTGGCAGGTCAGAGAAGTCTCTTGAACTGCCTGAAAAAGCCCATTTCACTCTTCTGATCTGTCTTAAGAAGACTTGAAAACCACCTGAATTGGAGGTATATTTGAGAACCAATTCAGGACCCTGAATTTGGGGCAAAGGTTTGCAGAATTGTCTTGTAAGAGTAATTTGTAGGTGGAAATCAGTATAGCACAGCCTTTGGGAAGGGTCTCCCATCCCTTCCTCGTGTTTCAGGGCAGTCAGACTGGGAATTGCCATTTCAGTCCTCCCATATTTTCATCCCCAAACATCAGTACAGCTTTCCCTGGGAGGGACTTGAGAAGAACCTTTTGGTCTGAGGTGCTGGCTGGTCAGAGAAGTCTCTTGAACTGCCTAAAAAAGCCCATTTCACTCTTTTGACCTGTCTTAAGAAGACTTGAAAACCACCTGAATTGCAGGTGGGGATTGCAGGCACAACTTGTGGGATTTTGGAAGGACTTTACACCTTTTCAAGTGCAGCTTTGAGCTCATCTGACATTTTTACCCCTCTCAGCTCTCCTTTCTTTCACATCTCTGGTGCATTACTTTGCACTTCTGTATTTCCTTTCCCTCTGCTTAATTTTCCAGCTTTCCTCAGCCCCTGGTATTATTTTTCAGCCTTCTCAATTTGCTGTCTTATTAAAGTATCATTCCCTCTCTCTCCCAGATGATTAATAAAGAGATTATATAAGGCTTGTGTGGCTTATATAGACTTATATAAGGCTGATCCCTCTGGTATCCTTCTAGACAGCTCTCAGCTACACACTTTGATGTTTGGCCTCTGGTTTGTTTGTATTTATTTTTCTGAAGTTGCTCTTCCATCTAGACTGGCTTAAATGGACTTTAAAGCAAAATTTGGTTGGAACATAGTGTCAGATGTTTTAGTAAGAGCTCACATTGATGGAATTACAGGCGTGTGAATTTGCCATTTATGAGAATAGAAGGAAGTGTGGAGTTTACCAGCTGCCAACTCAATGTTTTGTTTGCTTTGGGTTGTCCTTTAGCAGAACCCCACAGCACAGTTTCCAGCAGCAAACCCAAAATCTGTGGTTCTGAGTGCAGTCCCAAGTATTGGCACAGTGCTGCAAACTGGCCATGGAGGTGACAGTGCCCTGGGAAACCTCAGGAAATTGGGTTGCCTTTCACCCAGATCAAAATTATTCCATTTTGGGAGGTTGGTTTTTAGTGTTTCCTGTTTATTTTTTTTAAATTTAGGACAGTTCAAGGTGTATTTTGGAGATGAGTTGCAGAGGAATGGAAGGGTGGTGTTGCAATCACTGTGCCAGGCAGAGTTCCCCCATGGAAAACTTGCTGTGGATTTTCTTTGGACAAAAATTTGATGTGATGGCCCTGTGGTGACAGTGACTCTCCTGCCACGTGGCCCTGCTGCTCCCACCCTGTGCCACCACTCTGAATCCTGATTTTTGGAGACAAAAGAGCAGTGATGGGTGTGGAGCATCTTCCCCAAACTGTCTCCAGCATGGATGAGCATGAGGGACCTTCCTGGGGCTTGTGGGATTTGTGGTGCTGCCTGGTCTGGAGGAAAGTCCTTGGTCTCCAGATGTGCCTTGGGGATGAGAGCTGGTGAAGAACCCAGTGTGGGAGGTGGTGTGGGTGGTTGTGAGGAGGGATCTCATGGAGGAAACAGTTGGTTTGGAATCCTCCCCCTGTGTGAGAGGGACAGGGGCTGAGAATGGTTCCTGGCCTGGGTCAGGAATGCTGTGGCCAGCAGGAGCAGGGAGGTCATTGTGCCCCTGTGCTCGGCACTGGTGAGGGCACACCCTGAGTGCTGTGCCCAGCTCTGGCCCCTCAGGTTGGGAAGGAAGTTGAGATGAGAGCATCCAGAGGGGGCAACGAGGCTGGAGAGGGGCTGGGAACACAAACCCTGTGAGGAAGCCCTGAGGGAGCTGGGGGTGCTCAGCCTGGAGCAAAGGAGACTCAGGGCTGCCCTCATCACTCTCACAGCTCCTGAAAGGTGCCTGTGCTCAGCTGGGGCTGGGCTCTTTCTCCAGCAGCACTGACACAACCAGAGCACACAGCCTCGAGCTGCACCAAGGGAAATTCAGGTTGGATATCAGGAAAAAGTTTTTTACAGAAGGAGTGATAAAGTTCTGGAATGGCTGCCCAGGGAGGTGGTGGAGTCCCCATCCCTGGGTGTGTTTAACAAAGCCTGGATGTGGCACTGGGTGCCAGGGTTGAGCTGAGGGGTTGGGGCTGGGTTGGACTCGATGGTCTTGGAGGTCTTTTCCAACCTGGTGATTGATTCTCACTGATTCCAACCTGATTCTCACTGAATTCTGTGAATTCAGTGAGAAACACAGCCCTGAGCCATGAATTGCTCTGCAGACTGTGTCAGGGACGGGCTGGTGGCACCGGGGTGGGCTGTGTGGCACCACGATGGGCTGGGTGGCACCGGGACAGGCTCCTGCTGCCCCACCAGCCGCTGTCGGGGCAGTGCTCTGAGGAATCTGAGGCTGACCCTGGCTGATTTTCCTTTTCCAGAGGAGGTGATGCTGGCCGAGGAGGACAAGAACGCCGAAGAGAAGTCCCCTCTGGACGGTAGGTGCCTTTGCTGGGCATTTTCCTCCTGTGCCACGGGAGAGGTTCCACTGCTGTCACTGCCACGCCTTCCTCCCGAGCAGGAGGATCCTCCCGCATGCACCCGGCACAAATCCGGCCACAGAGCCCCTTGCGCAGGCTGCAGGTGGCTGAGGAGCGGTTATGGGACACCGCACACCGGCCCGGGATGGGGATGTGCCCTCGGGGTCGGTGCCCACGCCCTGCCGAGGGTGGCTGGCTGTGTGTGCAGGGGGTAGAGGCTGCCAGGAGGATGGAGAAGAGCGAATGCGCTGACCTGAGAGAAAGGCAGGGCTCCGAACGGATTTGACCAAGGGACTGAGCCCCCTGTTAGCTGTAAGCAGTAAGACATAACAGGGTGTGGTGATCCTTCCTTCCGACGTGCGAGCCCGGCGTGGCAGGACGGCCGGAGGAGCCGAGCAGCGAGGCCACGGGGATGCTCCCCCTGGGCCTCCAGCCCCGACAGCTCTTAGGATGCGCCAGCCGCTCAAAGCTCAGTTAAAGACTCTTCCCTCTCCCTTTTCTGACCATCTTTCGTCCTCCCATGTCTCCTCCTTTCCCCTCCCCTCCCTCCCCCCCCTCTTTTTTTTTCTCCTCCCATTCACTGTCAGGGAGGGCCGCCTCGGAAGGGCCGATTCCTCAAGGCACGGCGCCGGCAGAGACTGGCAGCGGCAGCAGCTACAACAGTGAGTGGATTGCAAATCACCAGGGGCTTAGGTGGCACCCAGGGGCAGCTTTCCCCCCGCAGCCCCGTGCCCAGGTCACCGGTGACATGCCCAGGTGGTTTTTCGGCCTGGCTCCCTCCCAGGCGTGCAGCGCTGCAGGTGCTGCTGCAGCCTCGGCCGGCCCGGTGACCTGCGCTGGGGACGATCTGGGGCTGGAGCAGGTCAGGGCTGAGGTGTGCGTGCCAGTCCTGCTGTGTGTGCTGGGGGTGTGTGTGAGCTGGGGAAGCCTGGCTGGCACCTGGGCACAGCCGGGCCTCGCTGGAGTTTGTGTGTGAGGAGCAGTCTGCAAGGCTGAGTGCTGTGAGAAACTCGAGGTGGGTGCAAGGCATGGAGTAAAGACCCAGAGATACTCAGGTTCCTCTTATCCTAAAGTGAAAGGAGCCCGAGAATGTTCCCAGCCTGGAGCAGCCCACAGTCTATGGTGATAAATTCCGAGTCCCCAAAACACAGGGACGTGCCTGGAGAGATGGCACAACCTCACTGCCAAACACACCGAGGAGTTTTCTGGAGCAGAAGATAAAAAGCTGCTCAGTTCATGCCAGGGAGTGTTGGAAATATTTAATCCCGGTGCTGGTTGTGCTCCAGTGCTGAGGATGGCCCTGGACATGCTGGAGTGAACTGGGACAGACCCAGCCTGAGGGACCCCCGAGCTGGCATTGCTGGGACTGAGGATTCAGCAGAGCTGGGTGGGGCAGCAAGGAGCACAAACAATGGATCCAGACCACAGGTTCAGAGCATCCTCCCCTCTGCTCTGGGTGTTCCCCTGTAGTGACTCAAGCACAGCCCGTAGGAGCAGGAAGCGCATCCACGTCTCTGTCAGGGCAGGGCGATCCGTGCAGTGTGGGAAAGGAATTTGTAGACAATTAGGGTTGAGGGGATGTTGTGGAGGAGCCTCCCCGGGGCAGTCTCTGCAGCGTGAGTGGCTTTGCTGTGTGTGCCCACGGACCAGTCTGTATCACCACACCGTGGGGTGTCTTACTGCTGATAGAAAGTGCTGCTTTAGTTACTGTCTGTCTCGAAGCTGTCACCAAACTGTACCAACGTGATTTTTTTTTTCTGCCACTTCTCAAGGTTCTGCAGGTAGGTGGTCCTGGGAGCAGCGTCCTCAGTGCTCCTGCCTCACCCCCCCGTGCTCTGGGTGGACAGTGCAGAGCTCTCAGTTGGAGTAAATGTAGTGATGTTTGCCCTCCCCACTAAAAGCTGCTTTTGGAGGGAAAAAAAAAGTGTTTTCAAAGAATTCTGACATCCCCAGAGGGCAGGGATTGAACACCGGGTGCTGCTGAGAGGCTGCTCACTGATGTGTGGCCGCTTTTTCCACGCAGCATTTCTGCTCCTTGAGGCATGGCTGGGTGGTAAACCGAGCTCTGTAAACTCTGACTCCCTCACAGTGCCTGCTGCAAACAGCACTGGTGGTTCCAGGGGTGGCAGCACTCATCTCCCAGCCCCGTGGGGCTCAGGAAGCTCCAGTGTCCCTGCCCAGCCTTTGTGCTGTGCTGAAAGTGCAGCTGCAGTGACCCCCCCACCCTCCTGCATCTGCTGCATGAAGTGGAACGTGCAGAGCTGTGCCTGGCAAACCTTCAAGAGCTGGAAGGGCAAAGGAGTGAAGCACCCTGGCACTGAGGCGTGCAGAGGCCCTGCAAGGTTGTGGGTTGTCCTGTTTGCTCCAGGGTACCCTGGTGGGAGAGCTTTGAGCTGGCATTGGGAAGGAAATGCTGGCCCTGGAGAGTGAAGGGAGGGGGAGAGAGAATCCACTCTGCATCCTCACGGGGCATTTTCTCTTTAATTTGCACGCAGTGTTGAAAAGAGCCGCAATAAAGAAGAGCAAAAATGACCTGATTCATGCAGAAGAAGGTGAGGACCATTTCACAGACATTTGCTCCGTTGGTGAGTACTGGCTTCGCATCCCCCGAGGTTTCGATCTCCACCTCAACCTGTCCATGCCATGTTTCCTCCTCTGGAGAGGCTCCTTTGCTCCAGAAGCTGCAGTTTCCTGAAGGAGAATGAATTTCCACTGCTGCAGCAGCAGCAGCACTCGACTTCCCAAAGCAAAAAGCTCCGTGGCTTCACCCTCTCCCTGCGCTGCCTGCCTCAGCTCTTGCATGCTGCACCCTTGGGAGAGCCCTGCAAAGCCTTGGCATAGTCCCTGCTGGGCTGGCCATCCTGGGATTCTGCTTGGAACGTGCTCATCCATGCTAATGAACCCCAAATCTGCCAAACAACACTGTTGGAGGGAGGAAAGGAAGTGGCCACGGTCCTGTGGTTCACTAATGCCCAGCTGAGGTGTCCCAGCCTTTGCTGTGGGAGTGGTCACTGGGAGGTGCTGGGCAGTGGCCTCAATTCTCTCATTCTTGTCTTAGAGGAAGATCTTGAAGCGATTTTAAAGCCAGATGTGGAGATCCAGTGCAGAGCAGGGCATCCTGCACCGTGGGGTGTTGCTGGGGTGAATTTGGTGTCTTCAGGCTGAGGAGGTGCTGCCCATTCTGCAGCTCCCAGCGCTGATTCCCTGCTGAGATCTGCCCAGGTGGGGAGGCAGAGGCAGCTCTGGGCTGCCAGGGGAGGCTCTGGGCACCCAGAACCCACCTCAGGGAGCTGCTGGAGCCAAACCCCTCTGAGCTGTGGGAGAGCCTCTCCTGCTGCTCTGCAGTCGGGCACTCTGCTCATCCTGTGCCTGTTGTTGGAGGCTGTTTTGCTGCTGAAGCAGCAGATGTTCTCATTATCTTCCAAAGAAATGTCTTGGCAGCCCAGTCCCCACGAAGCAGCAAATCCTGGATGCACAGAAGGAGCAGCACAAACAGCACATTTGAGAATCCATGTCCGTGGCTGTTGCACAGCATGAGTGCCTCAGTTGCCCTTTGGAAAGTTGGCCTTGATGTTTTCAGGGATCACAGCTGCTGCTGGAATTTATTTCCCCCCCCCCCTTTAAAGGAAGAGTTGGTTGCAGAAAATGAGCGTGGCTTGGCATGTTCCTGACACCAGCACTGAGCTGCCACACTCCCCTGGCCTGCAGGGTTTGTGGTGAAACTGCTGCCACTTCCAGGAGAGGTTTGGTGCTGAAAAGGGGCAAAAATGCAGCAGCCTGTGTGCATTTTTGGTTTGGTTTGTTGTTTTTTCTTGGATCCCTGCATGGATATGACAAGGAATGGTCGTTTTTGGAATATTTGCTCACGGTTGCAATAATTATGAGATCTTTGCCTCCAAATCCAAGTCCCTCCAGGCTCTGGGCAGCCAGAGCCACACCAACAGATCTTGGAGTTCAGCATTTCAGGTGGCAACGGATGATGGAGCATCTGGGCTCGGGAATAATCCGAGGCAGAGCTGGGAACTGTCTCGGGAGCATATGGCAGGGAAAATAACAGCAGTGCTTTCCACCTTCTGTGAGTGCTTCACCCACTTGGGAAAAGTGGCTTTGATTTTGATTCATGGAACGAGGCAGAAAAGAAGGAATGGGTTAAGCAGCTACTTCTGCAGGCTTGTGAAGAGGCTGGAATGCAGAGCATAAACAATCAGGTCACGTGGGCAATTATGCATAAAGGATCTGTTTTGGAGAAAAGGGGTTTTTGGATGGTTTTCTGTAGTGTGTTCATATGGGAGCAGAAGGAGTGTGGAAGAACTAACAAATAATCCCTGAGTGCCACGTGAAGATGCAGCTCAGGGTGGGGAGACTTTGCCAGGTCTCTCTCTGGCCATTGGCTGAAAATGTTGCACTTTAATTCAAGCACAAGCACCTCGATGAGCTTTATAGCTGCAGTATAAAGCTCTGTAGTGGTAAACACTTTCCAGGGTGTTCTCTGCAGTTCTTCTTAGCTTTTATTCTTTTCTTTCTACTCCCACTGGCTTCACACCCTCTGTGCTGTACCAGGCACGGGGCACTGCTTTGATTCCCAGACACCAAAGCCTGGAGAAGGAATGTTTTCCATGTTGGAGCAGTTTAAATATCACTGCTTTGCATTTCTGGAAGATCAGCAGACAGGAATGAGAGGGCAGCACTGTTCCTTTGCCAGTCTGGCAGTACAGAGGGGCTTGGCTATCTGAGAGCTCTGTACCTGCTAAGCAGTGCTGTGATATGAAGCAGCCTAAATCCCAAACTTTGGCTCTTCTTGTTGTCTTAAAGCAGAGCAGAGGAGGAGCACTGTGATTTCTTCTCTTCCAAACTGCCAAAGGCAGGATTTTCAAACCAACAGAAGACCACACTGATTTTTTCAGCATGGAATTTGTTCAAAGCCTGGCCAAGGCCAGCTCTGCTTTTGGAGTGCTGGTGGATGGCCAGAAATGTGAAATGGAGCAGAGAGCTCACTTTCCATGGGGGAACATCACACTTGTGTGGGGCTGTGAGGCTTGGAGAACCCGCTGCTGTCACATCTGGATGCCTCATCCTTTCTCTGGCTGATGTGGTGGATGTGGCAGGACGAGGCTGGGTGAGATTCCCACCCATTCCAAGTGTTGACATGGAGGTGATCACACTCCAAGATTTGGCTGCTGAAGCCAGAACTTTCTGTTCATGTCACTGAGCCCAGGAGAGCTCCAGGACATGTCCTGCTCATCCTGCTGGGATGCTCCATCCCAGGGTGGGGAAGGGCAGCAATGATATCTTGTCCCAAACCACTGGCACAGGCAGTGGCCAGCCTGGCACCATCACCATCTCCCCTGCTTGCAGCAGCTTCCCTGGCTGCTGCAGAGGAGCCCCAAGGGCTCCATGTGTTTCTTCCCTTATTCCTGATTTCTCCTGCCTCGGCATCAGCTGGAGATTGCCTTTTCATCTGAGCAGTGCCTCTACCCCAGGGGGAGAGCTGGCATCAGGAATCATTTCTTCCATCAGCTCCCTATTGTTGAAACCCTTGACTCTTTGCCAGGGTTTCAGCCCAGAGTGGAAATGGAGCTGATAGAGGCAGAATTGAGACAAATGAATGGCTGAGCCCAAAATCTGATCCACGGAGGAAGGTTGAGCCCTCTGCTAAAGAAATAGCTGAGGCTGGAGAGTAAATTAAGGAGAATTCACTCAATTCCCTAGTAACTGGTCCTTGGAGCAGGAAAAAACAGGGACAAAACAGTCCTTGGAGCAGGAGAATCATCTTTCCTGTTGCACCTACCCAGCTCCACGAGGACGTGCTCCACACCGTGGGCAGAAATATCCTGTGCCTGCTGCTCTCTGTCCCTGTCAACCAGGAAAAAGTGATGAGTTTAACTGTGACAATCAGGATTGCTGCAAAGGTTTGGAAGCCCAGTTTAGATGGTGGAGCTAGGCATTGGCCCATGAAGTTTTAAAAGCCCAGCCTTCATCCCTCATTACAAGCGAGATGCCCTTGCTCAGCCCATTCTCAACATCCCCAGCTTCCTGCTGAGCTGTTCTGGTGGTGCTTGGAGAGGCTCTGTGTGCCCAGGAACCCCCTGCAGCCTTTTCCCTGCTGGGATGGGCTGTGGTGACTCTTCTTTCTGTCCCAGGGTCTCCCTTTGCCCGTGCCAGTTTGAAGAGTGGCAAGAACGAGAGCTCGTCCTACTTCAGGAGGAAGGAGAAGATGTTCCGCTTCTTCATCCGCCGCATGGTGAAGGCCCAGAGCTTCTACTGGGTGGTGCTCTGCGTGGTGGCCCTCAACACCCTCTGTGTGGCCATGGTGCACTATGACCAGCCTGAGAAGCTGACCACTGCTCTCTGTGAGTACTGCAGGGAGCTGGGAGTGCTTATCCTGGAGAAAAGGAGACTCAGGGGTGGCCTTATCAGTCTCTGCAGCTCCCCTCACTGCTGGTTTTTGGCTCCTTTTTTCTACCTCTGTCAAGAGGGATTGAAACTCTCCAGACAATATTTCCTCTTCAGGCTTAGGTGTTTGTTATTTCTTATCTAGACTATAAGTAGTGAATTTTACAGCATTCTACCAACAAGAAAGGGCTTTGGGACACTGCAGTGTGTCCAGAGGGGGCAGCGAGGCTGGAGAGGGGCTGGGAACACAAATCCTGAGAGGAACCCCTGAGGGAGCTGGGGGTGCTCAGCCTGGAGCAAAGGAGACTCAGGGCTGCCCCCATCACTCTCACAGCTCCTGAAAGGTGCCTGTGCTCAGCTGGGGCTGGGCTCTTTCTCCAGCAGCACTGACACAACCAGAGCACACAGCCTCGAGCTGTGCCAAGGGAAATTCAGGTTGGGTATCAGGAAAAAGTTTTTTACAGAAGGAGTGATAAAGTTCTGGAATGGCTGCCCAGGGAGGTGGTGGAGTCCCCATCCCTGGGGGTGTTTAACAAAGCCTGGATGTGGCACTGGGTGCCAGGGTTGAGTTGAAGTGAGCTTGTCACTATAGGACACGAAACAACACGAGCACACACTGCTGTTCTCAAGGTAGAAAAAGGGAAGTTTATTTTCTGACTCTAACATTCATAGATTCCCAAAAGTGACAGTGGATTGGAGGGTGACAGTGCCACCCCTCCAATGACACTGGACAAACCAACAGTCCATCAAATTTCTCCTCCTCCATAAAAGAATGCAAAACAATGAGTTATTTACAGAAAGTGTGTGAGAAAGTTTGTTACAAGAATGTAAACATCAGAAAGCTTAGAAAATCTTAAAAAACCAGAGCAACAGGGGCTGGGTTGGACTCGATGATCTTTAAGGTCTCTTCCAACCTGGTGATTCTGTGAATTCTGTGAGTACTGGCCACTCCTGTTCCCTCTGGTGTTTCTGATCCCACAGTGCTGTGGTCACGCCCCAGCTCTCAGCATCCCTCAAGGCTTGGTTCTTCTCACTCACCGCTCGTGGAATCACTGAATGGTTTGGGTGGGAAGGGAGCTGAAAGCTCAGCTTATTCTACCCCCTGTGCAGGGATACCTTCCACTAGACCTTGTCCAGCCTGGCCTTGGACTCTTCCAGGGATCTAGGGGCAGCCACAGCTGCTCTGGGAATTCCATCCCAATCCCTATACTCACAGGGAAGAGTTCCTTCCCAATATCCCATCTAGCCCTGCCCTCTGGCAGTGGGAAACCATCCCCCTTGTCCTGGCACTCCAGGCCCTGGTAAATTGTCTCTCTTTACCTTTCCTGTCAGCCCCTTCAGGTCCTGGAAGGCCACATTTAGATCATCTCAAAGCTTCCCTTCTCCAGACTGAACAATCTCAATTCTCTTTCAAATCCTACTTCAAATTATTGAATCACACAATTCAGAAAAAAATCCACCAGGGTGTTAGTTTGAGAGAGGAATGTTATCCTAAAGGTTATTGCAAAGTTGAGATTCAATCAGGGGTAAAGGCTGGAACAGGGCACGAGGAATTGTCCTGGGATGGGGCAGGAGGAATTGTTCTGGGATGGGGCAGGAGGAGGAATTGTCCTGGGATGGGGCAAGAGGAGGAATTGTCCTGGAACAGGGCAGGAGGAATTGTCCTGGGATGGGGCAGGAGGAGGAATTGTCCTGGGATGGGGCAGGAGGAATTGTCCTGGAACAGGGCAGGAGGAATTGTCCTGGGATGGGGCAGGAGGAGGAATTGTCCTGGAACAGGGCAGGAGGAATTGTCCTGGGATGGGGCAGGAGGAGGAATTGTCCTGGAATGGGGCAGGAGGAGGAATTGTCCTGGGATGGGGCAGGAGGAGGAATTGTCCTGGGATGGGGCAGGAGGAATTGTCCTGGGATGGGGCAGGAGGAGGAATTGTCCTGGAATGGGGCAGGAGGAGGAATTGTCCTGGAATGGGGCAAGAGGAGGAATTGTCCTGGAATGGGGCAGGAGGAATTGTCCTGGGATGGGGCAGGAGGAATTGTACTGGAATGGGGCAGGAGGAGGAATTGTTCTGGGATGGGGCAGCAGGAATTGTCCTGGAATGGGGCAGGAGGAATTGTCCTGGAATGGGGCAGGAGGAGGAATTGTCCTGGGATGGGGCAGGAGGAGGAATTGTCCTGGAACAGGGCAGGAGGAATTGTCCTGGGATGGGGCAGCAGGAATTGTCCTGGAATGGGGCAGGAGGAATTGTCCTGGGATGGGGCAGGAGGAATTGTCCTGGGATGGGGCAGGAGGAATTGTCCTGGAATGGGGCAGGAGGAGGAATTATCCTGGGATGGGGCAGGAGGAGGAATTGTCCTGGGATGGGGCAGGAGGAATTGTTCTGGGATGGGGCAGGAGGAGTTGTCCTGGAGCAGGATGCACAAAAGGAAGGGAAATTATGCCTGGCAAAAGCAGGGTTCTCTGGCTAACCGGTGTCCAGAGAATGCAAATTTGTGTCATTTTGCAGCTGATGTGCACCCATGGGTGATTCCTGTTGGGGACACCTCAGAGCTCTGCCAGCTCTGACATTCCTGGGATAGCAGCAGCTGGAATGGCCTGGGAGATAAAAATCCTGCCAGTGTTTATGGAATCAGGCACTAAGCCCTCACATGTGCTGTGATTCCTGCCAGAGCCTTTAAAAGGTTTAAACTTTACAGCTCCTTTCTGGTTCCATCCCCTCCCTGATGGGGTGTGATGACATGGGACAGGTGTCACGGTGCCCTCCTGTGACATTAAGTGACAGAAATAATCCCAGAGGGAAGATTATCCTGTATTTGTGAAAAGATTTTATTTTAGCTGGTTCCTGTGCTCACCTGGTTTAGCTCAGAGAGTCTAGAAGTGCTTTTGAAGTATGAGGTTTGGGTTTTTAAATTGCTCTGATGAATGAGAAATGGTGTCTCCCTGAGGTCACAGACTCGCTGGCAAAGCTTGGTTTAAAAAAAATATGGAAGGTGAGGGATGGAGCTTTTTTGTTTATTTTAATGAAGTTTGGAGGCTGGGACTCCAAGAGCTGGAAAACTCCTAGAAATTCCTCATGCTGATAATGCAAATTTTTCCCATCAAGGGATGGAATGAGGTTTGTTCCTGGAAGACAAAGCCATTCATGACCCTATAAAATGGCCAGGAGCAAATCTGTTATTCAGCATGTGACCAGATGAAAATTTAAATAAAACTTCTGAAAAAACCAAAGAGAAGACTGGAAAAAAACCTCAAATATTTCCAACAGTCTAACAGTGTTGGCTTAGATCTTTAAAGATCCTTATCTACCTAATTTGCCTTGATTTCTCTCTAAATTAGATACTTAAATATTTCTTGCCTCAGATCCTCAGGTCTTACCTTATTACAAGGAAGGCAAACTTTTGAAGTTTTTTTTTACTAGACCTAAGAGGTCAGGAATACTGACTGCTCTGACATCAAAAGCTCCTTATTAATATTTGTTGAAATATTTAATGCCACCTGGTAATGGAGCTCTAATGAGAGATGTATAATAAGGACAGAAATTTCTTTCAAGTCTTTCTTTTTTTTGGCAAGATTTCAACTGAAAAGAGAGACAGACCATACAGAGAAGTCACTCTTGCTTATTCATTCCCTCAATTTACCAGAGGAAATAATAAGCTAGATTGGCAGAGTAATTAAAAGTTTTAGGATTAGGATTTCCTCTGGAATTAGGACTAAATGTTTAGGAAACAAACCCCACACTTGGAATCTTTCAACTACAAAAAGGTCACAGATTTACAAAACTCAGTTTTGGGACCACCTTGTGCAGTGACTTTTCCATGGGAACACGAAGAAATCCATGAGCCAGAAACTCCTCAATGTTGCAGTGAGGGCTGGAGGGGCTGCTGGGAATTGTTCACCTCCAGCTGGGAAACTTACCTGAGACAGAGGCCACAAATTAGGCTTCCAATCTATCCCTGCTGAAGACAAAAAATAGGGAATAGGTTGGAATTAGGGATGGATCCATGTTTCAGGAACTCTGCATTTGTCCATAACACCCAGTAATGTCAATTAGTGTCAGGAGCACTTGGGCAGCAAATTTGGATTTCTTGGTGTAGAGTCCCACTGAGCTGGGAGTGGGGGTCCCACTGCCTGACATGTAATGGAAGAGGCAGAAAACCACCAAAAATTGGGGATTAAATTCTCATCATCCTCCCAGCCACTGCCCTTTACCCTGAGGGCCCTTTGTCAATGGGGAAACACCTGGGCAGGCCCTCCACAACCCATCCCTGAAAGGGATCCCAGAATGGGGCAGAAAAGGGACCTGAGAGGGTCACCTGGAGCTCCCTGCTCCAGCAGGGCCATCCCAGAGCACAGAGCACAGCATTGTCCCTGGAACATCCCAGGGAGGAGACTCCCAGCCTCCTGAGCTGCTTGTTCACCTCACAGGGAAGAAGTTCTTCCTGATGTCCAGGTGGAATTTCCTGGGATCAGTTCCTGCCTGTCCTGCTGTCCCATGGCTGGAGCAGAGCCTGGGCCCTGCTCTGAGCCCTCCCTGTGGGTGTTTGGATGAGATTCCTCTCAATCATCTCCTTTGGAGGCTGAGCAGCCCCAGCTCTCTCAGCCTTGTCCTCACAAGAGAGATGCTCCAGTCCCCTCAGCATCTCTGTCACCCTTCATCCAGGAGCTCTGAGTATTTCTGGGATGTTAAACCCTGCTGGAAACTCCCCTGGCACTGGGGAGGGGCAGCCCAGCCTGGGTCACAGAAAAAAACAGATTATTAAAAAGCAGGGAAAGGTTTTGTGGATGCTCACACTGGGTTTTTAGACATGGTGGTACAAGATTGGTCACTGTGACAATGAGAATAAAAACCAGAGATCCCAGAATTGTTTGGGTTGAAGGGACCTTAAATCCCATCCCATCCCACCCCTGCCATGGCAGGGACACCTCCCACTGTCCCAGGTGCTCCCAGCCCTGTCCAGC